TATTCCTGAATTTATTTCCTTGAGGGAAAAAAAGTAAGATGTTTTGACATCCAATGTTGCAATCAGTATTGTTTAATACTTGTCGGGCCTTGACTTAGCCTGTCTGCTTTGCTGTAACCTGGCTGCACAGAGCAAACAAATATGGAGGCTTAAATGGTGGAAATTTCTCTGCATGTCTTTCAGGTCCTGCTCCCTGTATCCCATGCAGGTGTCCCTGTATCGCTTGTCTGGATCTCTGGCTCAATCTTTAAAAAAAGTTTAAGATCTGAGCAAAGTTCAGATAGGTTTTTGGAGGCTCCTGGTGCTGTAGCTCTCACCTTTAGTACTATGCAATGCCATGAATACTTCTAATCTCATGATATAGTAACAGGTGCACAGCAAGAGTTGTATCATTGCTTCAGCTGGAACAGCATTGGAACTGCCAGTGATCTGTGACAAGGTTTGACTTAGTGCAAAGCCTAGAGTGCATCACCAAAACCTATGGGCTAGTACTGACATGCACAACTTCTGCTAGAAAATGTGCCAAGCCTATAAAACAGTCATATTTCAGCTTTATAGATGGACGTGAACAGGGTCAAATCATTTATTTTAGTATTACAGACGGTAGGATTTTTTCATTAATTCCTTTTAATGTCTAAAAGGGGGAGCTATAGGAAAGGAGAGAGGCTCTTTAGCAGGGTCTGTTGCGATAGGAGTAGGGAAAAGGTTTCACACTAAGAGAGGGGAGATGTAGATTGGATATAAGAAAAAAGTTTTTTAATATAAAGGTAGTGAGGCTCTGGCACAGGTTGCCCAGAGATATGGATGCCCCATCCCTGGAGACACCCAAGGTCAGGCTGGAGGGGCTCTGAGCACCTGATGGAGCTGTAGGTATCCCTGATCAGTGCAGGAGAGTTGGACTAAATGGCCTTCAGAAGTCCCTTCCAATTCAAACGGTGCCATGATTCAGGAATTACTGTTCTTGTCCTAATACTGCAACAGGAAAACAAAAAAAAAAAAGGGGAGGGAAATATTTAGAAATGATTGCAACTGCATCTCTTCCTTTACTTGAGAATTCTGTTTTCAAACAACGGCTTCGTCTTACAGCTTTTAATACTTAATTAGTCATTTTAATCAGCATGGCGTTGTTCTAATTTGTTACTTCTGTCTTCTGATTATGAAATATGACAGTTCTAAATATTTAATGGGAACTGGTGTAATAGCCATGTGCTTTTGTTGTATGCTGTTGTTGTATGCAGTATTTCCTTCCTTAGTATCATAAAATATGTAATATACCTGTAGCAAAGAGACTCTAGTAGAGAATACAGGTGGAACTGAATTTCTAAAGCAGTCGTAAGTTCACAAGCGCCGTTCCCAATGTCTCATATCTCGTAAGCATCAGTGAAAAAGTTTCTCCATCTTCCTTTTGATGCAGTAAGTCCACGTACTATTCAAAAATACACTGTTCGTTTAGAATTTATCTTTAAATATTCTTTGAAACAGGTATTATTCTGCCAAGAAATTATCTCCTAAAATGAGTTTATAGAGAAATATTCTAATATGAAATAGAACTGTACAAAACATTATGATGTAGAAGTCTGAGAGTCATGTAGAGAGGTCTTTTGTTCATGTTTTAAGTCACTCAGTGAAGACTACTATAGGCAAAAACACAGCTGGAGAGCCTCCTAAATGTCTCATTGTTGGTTCTGAGAAGAGAATTCCATCCATAATCTTAACAGAAGCAGAACAAGCTGATAATATGAAAAAGAAGAACAAGCATTTTATGGCATCTAAGGTGAGATCTTCCTGCTGAAAGAGCTAATTTCAGGTTGGCTGCATATTTGCAGGCTGAAATAACTTTTGTGATCACTTCAAAAATGATGCAAATGAATATAGGATTTTGATATGTGCAATAAAAATAAAATAGGAGCCCCACTTTCACCAAAATCCAGAAAGCCTGCAATGCATTAAGGCTGTTACTGATCAAACTCTACTGATGCTAGGCCAGTAAAGGGAAGGCAAAAATCATGCTGAAGTCAGAATTTCATTATAGAATTGCTGAAGAGACCAAACAAAGCTACTCGTATATCCAAAATAATTAAACAGCAACCGTAGAGATAGACAGCACTAAGTACTTTTCTTAAGACAGTGGTCACAAGAGTGGGAAGTTATCTGTGAGTGGCTGCCAAATCAACAGTGAGCTCTGCATTCAGTTCACACCGCCAGTTCATCCTGACCACAGAGATCGCGGCAGTGGCAGCGTGTCAGGGACGAGTTGCTACTGTTTTCATTGCTCAGTTATTCACAACAGTCCATCTGGGACTGCTGCTGCAGAAGCTGATTTTCATTTCACCTGCATCTTTTCTCACCTCTGTTAAACTGCATCTGAGATTTGCTATGTGCTGTGATCTAGCTCCCGTTCAGCCATCTCGGACTCCGCTGTATCTTGACCACTGCAGATACAAAGTACACCAAGGGCATTTTTAAAGCTTTTTCCTCATTAGCAGAGATGCTTCTTCCTGACTGTGTTCTCAGTGTCATTTTGAGGTTGTGTCTAGCTGACAGCCATATGGCATGTAAGCTTTCTACCAGTCCAAAGGAAACTGTACATCAAAGAGCGTTGTTTAGCATTCCAACTGTGTACGCTTTCCGAATAAACCTTGTAAGAAAAGCCCAACAAATGTGGTCAGAAACTGAGCATCGTGTTTGAAATTTGTGAAAAAAATCAAGTACTTCTTAAAAGGTGGGTGCGAATTCTAATGTGGAATCTGTGTTTTTCACTAAAACATGGAGCATTTGCAGGGTGTTCTCAGCATTGATTCTAACAACTGGGAATTAGGAGCCGGAGCTGAGCTGCAGTGTGCTACATAACAATTATTGAATTCTTTAGAATTGAAGCAAAAATAACTGGAGCATAAATGTTACGAAAATACCTGAGAATTTCTGAGAAATATTAGAAATAAAATAGCTACCCAGAAAAGAGCTAATTTGCTTTTTCCATTATGAACAAATTTTTGTATCAATATGGAATAGAAAACCATTACTCGGTACCAATATCATCAGAAATACCACAACTCCACATGTCCAGTTGCTTCATTCATTCATTACACTTCTCTTCGGGCAGGATTTTAATTCATGGCATCTGACACCATTTTCTTGGTAAATAATACAATTCAAGTTGGAAGGGAAAATGAGGTTGCTGATTTGGGAAACAAAGACTTCTATGATTTATCTCTAATAAGAGCACAAAGGTTTTATTTTTCCACATGGTCATTAATTGCAAGTATCAGGAATATGAATTTAAATCTGCGAATGTGTGACTTTTCAACTCACTGCTGGAGCAGCAGATAATGCAGAAGCAGGCAGTTTGTGCCTCGGTGTGAAAACATTCCAGCCAGGAACGTGTCTGTGGTATGAGGGTGAATAAACGTGGAGCGCTAGGCTGAGCACTGCCTTTATTCAATCAGATCAAGGTTTGTTTAGAAAATATGATGATCAGATTCTTTATTAAGTACAGATTTTTATTAACACTATATGGTATTTAATTTTAGAATGCTTAAATTGCTGAAATAGTCATTACTAAAATAGAAGTTATCTGCCTTAATACATGTTTTTCTTTCTAAATGTTTTTTTCAGCCACCTGGAACTATAGAACTATATTCCAGTTATACTTCTGAGAAAAATCCGATTCTTATTTTAAATTGCTAAGGTTAACTTCCAGGAGATATTTTACTCAAGAATTCACTTTTTGCCGATGCCTGTAGCCTAAATTGCAGCACAATGTGAAAGCCTTCCCTGGCAGAGTAATTCTGAACAGAAGGCTGCCTTTGAGCATCACTTCTCCATATATGCCACTGCTTCCTGATGTTTCATCCTTATCTTTCCTGAAAAGTAAAATATTAGCCTGTCTCAGACCTTCAAAGGGATGAGCTGTTTTCCACTGACTTGTACACGGCCTTTTAAAAAACTAATTTTGGGGATTGGCAGATCTGTGGAGTAATCCCAGCTCATTGTAAAGGATATGCACAGTGTGCGCATTAGCTTAGAAAACATGAAAACATCTTTTTTTAAAGACTGTCACATGCAGATAGGCATCTGCTTATCGTTTACGTTTAATATCTGTACTCCACCTGTCTAAATAAAAGCAATAGCAGTTGACTGATTCATTGTTAATGTTTCCCAGTGAAGCCATATATTACAAGTGTTACACGAGAGAGAACTACCCGTCCAACATACACATTTTGTTTGTAACAATGAAATTAACTGCAAGCCACCATTTGTTTAGGGCTTCAGTGTTTTGCTAGATATTTAATGTCTGGAAAAAAAATTATTTGCTGCACATAGACTTGTATGAGTGTATTAGCACAATTAAGAAAATCACCCTGCAAATATCTGCTGCAGGCACATTAAAGCAACAACAGACAAGCAAACAAACCACTTGATAGAAATCTGTGGGCTGCAGAACATCACGGTAGAGATTCTTTGCAGAATTCTGTGCAGTCTTTGCTTACCTTTGTTGTTTCACTGGATGGATTTTTATTTTCATAGCATTCTCGTTTGTGATTTAATACTGCCTGCTCATACAATTTTTTTATTATTAGTTAATATTTAATATTTTTATTATTATAGTTTTTTTATTATAATTGTGGCACCACAGTAGTATTTCTGTTGTTCGAGGCCACAGTAATGCAATACTATTAATCATAATGCCGTATGAAAATTCCATTTTCTCTCTGCACATCAGTTAAGCATCAAAAAAGTGTGCATTGAACTTCTCTCCTATACCTCTGCTGTTTACAGTTTGGTTCTACAACGCTACACTGCAGTCCATTGCTAGCAGACCTTAGCATGGGTCCACATTACAGAAGTATCTTTACTGCAGCTGACAGAAAGAGTAATGTTGGCTAGAGAGAATGTGAAGAAAGAAACTAGAGGATATTTTCACTACTTTTATGCACTTATGCAATGTGGGCACCTGGAATAATGTAACAGCAGAGCAAATCGAGAGGAGACAGAATGCTATGCGGGTTGGTGAAATAAGGAAGAAAATAAAGATAATCAAGGTGAGAAATTAGCACAGAAATAATGTCTTCCCTCCCCCGCCAAACATTGTGTAAGGCAAAAAAGATGTAGGTTTCAGTTTTAAAAATGAGATGATTATTTTGATAAGAATGCCTGTAGTATGCAGAAACGTAATACCAAAAGTCAGCATAATAATTGTTTATGATAAACAGCTAATAAGCGTTAGAGGTGACAGAATGACACAGGCTGTTACTCAGGCTCTGTTGTGCTTTGGGTGCCATCTCACTCAGTGCTCATATGCCATCCTTGCTTTCATAGCTGAATGATGGTGCTTCCCCATTGTTAACTCAGGGCTGTGAAAATCACAAGAAATTGAATCTGGCTCTTGTTTGCACACTCGCATGGAAGCCACAGTTGCGGCGTTTCTCCAACTTCTCTCCTGGATAGGATGAGCACCTATTCATTCTGAATCTTAGTACGAATACTGTCAACCTCACAGTTATTTTTATAAGTTTAAATTCCTTAATTACTTTAAAGATATCTACCATTTTATCATTTTTTTTCAAATCAGCCTATGTGCTCAAAACCTATTAAAGAAGCACGTGTGCTATGATAACATAAATCTCCTTTCCTTAGTAAACTGAGCTAAATACCTCTAAGAAGCCAAATGAAGGTTTAATCTTTAAGTAATGACATTTACAAAAAATCTGTTTCTTACAGATGGCCCTTCCGAATTTAATGTCAGTTCACTACTACTATTGAAAGGTACAGGAATAAATAAACTATATTCTTTGGAAGAATTTTTAACCCCTCCTCCGCATTTCCGTGAAAAAACCATGGTTTTCACACAAGCTGTTTAGAACACTTGCACCTGAGATGTTACACAGCGAACAGTTACTTTGTCTGCTTCAGAGCTAAGTCAATATTAGCACTGATGAAGTATGCATTACCATGGTATTCAGATGGACTTTGCATTTTGATTAAAGTACAAACATATCAGGGATGCCAGACGTGCAGTCCAGGTAGGCAGCATGCTTTCTGTTTTGTAATGTGTCAGGGGATCCACAGACTGTCAAAATTTAGTCAGTGACCAAATACTCAACAATCTGGAGATGGTGGAGAGCCTAAAAATATTAATACCATTTCAGAGTTACAGCTTGCAACTTTATCTTTTTTTTTTTTTTCTTTTAAGGCACTGTGGCAGTTCCTGTTAATAACACAGTATGTCCAACATGCAGGAACTTGAAGGAAAGGCAAACAAGTCAATTGCTGAATACTCAGGCAAAGAAATAGCTGTATAGATCTGAGGCCTGTTGGTCAATTTCAGTCTTTATAAATAGCAACTGGTGGATCAGTAAAAAATTCTTTATCATTTTTAAACATTTTAAATAACGTGTTGTTTTTTTTTTTAAATAATGATATAATTGTTCTACATTAAAGTGATCATTCAGATGCTACAGAGAAACTTTCTAGAACTCAGAAGAGAATCTTTGCATTCTAGAGATTCTTGACAAAACATGGCAAAAAATATAGCTTAAAGGAAGGCTACAACACAGTATTTGTGTGAAAGAATGTTTTAGAGAGGCCAACTCTTTCTTTTGATATTTTCTGAACTTCATAGAGGAATGTAAATGCAAAATTCTAGGGCATGGTAATTGAAGCAAGACACTCTCCTGCATCAACCGTCACCTGTGTGCTGGCTGCAGGGTGCATGGGGGCTGCTGCAGCCTTTTCCATCCCTTGGTACCACCTGCAGTGAGATGAGCAGGCACCTCTGTGACCCTCCATCCTTCCTCAGCCCTCTGTGCTCAGTGCTGAGCAAAGTCTGTGCCAACAGCCTGCCAGGCTGCCAAGTGCCTGGGCCCCTCCCCAGCTCTGAGCCCTGGGCTGGGCCCTCATCCCACAGGGGCAGTCATTGCCTCTGGGGAAAGCAGAGGGGACTCAGGAAGCCCAGGGGAGACTCCCAAGTACTAAAAATGAAGAGGCACTTACTGGTTTTGCTTTAGAAAAACAATTTAGTTTCTTCTTATTATTTTGTATTGCATTTGTATTTAAAATTGTTTATTGTCAAGTTTTGAAACCAAAGTCCTAATAGGGCTTGGACCTTCATGCTGAGCTTAAGTCTTTCTTCCTGTCCAAACCAAAGTCTTCTGCTTCTCCCAAGGAAAACCGAGGAAAACTGCCTCTGTACCTTCTCTGGTGCTGCCTGCAGGCCTCAGGGAGCTTGTTCTCTGGATTCTGCCTGGTCCTAACACAGCAGCTGAGAATATGCCAGCCCAGTCCTGCCCTCTTCTTCAGTGCTTACCTGGAGGCCACGTGGAGCTTCGTGCCATCTGCTGGACTCCTCCTGTTGTCCCAGCATGATGGCTTAGAGGATGCAAGTCCCAGTCCTGCCTTCTTCTTCAGGACTTGCCTCAAGGCTACAGGGAGCTCAGGGCCATCCACTGGACTCCTATTGGCCCAGCACAGCAGCTCAGAGGGCACTACTCTCAGTCCTGCCTCCTTCAGAACTCACCTCAAGGCTGCAGGGCCCATCCATTGGACTCTTCTGGTCCTAATGCAGAAGCTTACAAGATGCCAGTCCTGCCCTCTTCTTGAGGGCTCAGCTGGAGGTCACAGGGAGCTCAGGGCTGTCTGGTGGACTCCTCCCATTGTCCTGGTGCAGAAGTATAGAGGGCACCAGTCCCAGTCCCTCCCTTCTCCTCAGAGCTCAGGAAAGGAGAGGTGAGAGGTCTTGGGGAAGAATGAGGATGGGGAAGAAGGGCTTCTAGAGGGCAGCAGCAGGCCTAGGGGCTTTCTGGCAGACGGTGACTGCTCAATGCTGAGATGGAAATCGAGAGCCCCTGGTGCATCACCAACAGATGTAGCGACATCTCCGGGCAAGCATGGTGTCAGGCCTGATGGAGGTGGGTCTCCCTCCATTGGTTTATCCTCTGGAGGTGCGTCCACCTCCATGGTCTCAATGTTGCTCTCCAGTGGGTCTACATCCATTGGTTCAGCTTTGCTGATGCTCTATAGAAGACGAAGCTTCTTTGGTGGAGGAGGATCCATCCTTCTCCAGAAGGTTCCCACGATGGGAGGAAATGGTCTATCCACGGAGCTCCTTGTCTCAGGTATATGCTTTCCGGACAGAAGTCGGTTAGCAACTGGAGTGGCTGAAGTCCCCAGGTTTGCTCAGTGCAGAGCAGGCTGATGGGAGGCCTACAGCAGCTGCAGCTCTTCACAGGGAGTGGAGGGCAGCGCTCTGTAGGGACAGCGATAGGGCCTGAGGGAATGGAATGGAGCTGTGTCAGGGGAGGGGCAGGTGGGGGTTAGGGACTGCACCAGATGGTGGTGGGCATGGCGTGGCAGTAGGCATGGCTCCAAGCTGCTGCAGATGAAGGAGCATTTGCATGTGGGTGGTCCCTTTGTGGAGCAGGGGTTGGACTTGACGATCATTGTGGGTTCCTTCTAACTCGGGATATTGTACGTCCAACTAGTTTTGTAAGGGAAGGAAGCAATGCTCCTCTTCACCCAAAAGTCCAGATCAAGTTGCTTTCATTTAGAACACAGAAGACCTCTTTCTATTTCCTTCTACTGCTAGTGAAGATCCACTCACCCATGCCAGTAAGGATTTTGGAATCAGCCATCTTTATTGTTGTTTCATAGAAGTGTTCACTGAGTAGGAATGACTCAAACCTGATGAGTAAATTGGGAACTGGGGTGATAAGAAAACAATCTCCATCCTCTTATACTTTGCTACTCTAATACCTTTTTCTCGTTTTGGTTTAGCAGCCAACTTTGTTAAGAAAAAAATAATCAGGCTCAGATTTTCCCATAATTCATGAACATATTACAGATGTGGTAACAGCGCCAAGAAAGCAGTTCCAGTACCAGTTTCATGAACAGAAACTGCCATGCAAATACAGTTCATTGTAAAGGATATAAATTGATCTAACAATCTGAAATGGTGCCACTTTCTCCTCATTGTGATTTGCCCGCAGTTGGTGATATCGCAGCACAAATTCTGAATAATACTCTACTAAAGGAAAAATGGCTTTAACAGCTTTCCTTCTTTTATTTTTGTGTTATTAGTTCCTTTCTTTTGAGAAAATGAGAATATGAGAGAATACTTTTAACTTAGAACCAGAATGTTCATTTGTTTATTCTTCAGTTATTATTGAAATCTTCCCAAGAGTAATTCACTGTGATGTAACACGGTTATTTTATTATATCAAGGAAGGTGCATCATTTAACCCCTTCAGCATTATTGTTATTATCAGTAGTTTCAGAACTACCTTGTTGAAGTCATGCACAATATCTCTTTTTTTTCTCTGACCAGGATTGTGAGAGAAAGTGATACAGAGAGAAAAAAACAGATCAAGCAGTAGCATTCTCACATTTCATGTCAGAACAACCTGGCAATTGCTGTCACGACTTCAACAAATTCACATGAATTTCTGCCCCATTTTTTTTTCTTGAGTAAATAGAAAATATGACTCCAAACTTTACTGAGTAGAGTCATTTTTCAACAAAAGTCTCTAGGACATACACTGAATCAGTATTAAGTCACTTCTCACACTACTGAAGACTTCTGCCAAGTATTACAACAGTGTCTGTCATCAACTCAGTGGAACAATGTTCTTTACTACTGAATTACTGAATTGGATAGTAATGGACAGAAAGCAAAACAGAACAGTTTTCCACATGGATTTTCTTTACTGTGTGAAGTACAGACAGTAGCGAACATCTAGGATTCAATCTGTTCTTAGGTAAATGATAAAAATGAGTCGACAAGACAAGGCGTATGCCCCCTGTCACTGATGTAAGAACAGGACAACTAGTTGCAATAGATAATTGAGTATGCATAGTATTAACTTCTAAAATCAATTTCTTAAATGAGAAAAGAATAAAAGGCTTATGCCATAATGTTGATCTACTAACTTTATTTTGATGTAAGGTTACCATAAAAAAACATCTGGGAAGTGAACATTTTCTTTAAGATTATCTGTTAATAACAACTTAGACTTAGCAATGGCTCTGTTTGCAGCCATTTTCACTCTTGTAGAACCCATCTGATTCAAGCATTTCTTGTAATTTTAAATAGCTTTGAATGTGTTCTGGCCTGAGGAGTCTGAGTAATGTGAACAGTGCACAGTAATGTGCATTGAAGGGACACTGACTCCTTGATTATAAATATATACTTTTTACCTTGCATGATGGTATAGCGAATGTGTTTAAAAAAATAATTAATGTTTGGGGTTAGTTCATTTTATTTCTTAATTTACGGAGGCATACCTTAACGTTTAAAAGACTGGAAGCTTGTGCTTTTCTTTAGGATTGCACGTTAGACTTTTCCTATCATCTCAACAAGGAAAATGCAAGCAAGTTGTATATGCCTAACACAAAATAATGGTAGAAACAGATAATCCCTTAGTGTTTATACTTGTGCCAAATTCCTAAGGTACGATACTGTAACAACAAACCACATCAGACTAAATGCAATCAATTTTACAAGCATACCTTATGGAATACTTGAGTAAACTATACATGTGTTGAATAGTGTTTGTTTTGCAGATGTTCCTGTTTGTGCATTCATAGTTACAGGCTTCCCATCTGAACTTACCCATTCCACTAAAATTTTGGCAGCAGCTCCAACGGCAATGTCACACAGATTGGTACTTGCTGTATGTGTGTAGTGCCTCTAAGAATAACAAATAATACTAAACAAACCTGTAACTACAATGCTAATGAGTAAGATTTCCTCACTTAGCTATATATTCTTTGCTGACATACAAAATTAGAACTAGCAATTGCACCCCAATTCCCAGGTTGCATTCAAACAGTGATTGACACAAATGGAGTGCTACTCAGAAGGGTTAAAAAAACCACAACATTTAGGTATATTTTTAACAGTTGATCAGCAGCACTAAATCTAGAATGAAACAATAGGTTGGCTTAGGATTTCATGATAAGAAGTAAGGTTGTTTATATGCCTTAAGAACAAATTCTGCTATTCTGGCATAGCAAGGTTTCTGGAGTATCAACTGATTTCCCAGTATCTGCACCTTCAGCCTTGATATGGGAATATGAAGCAGTTCAACCAAACTATCTGTGTTGCCCAAAACCCTGATGGACCCTATTTGCCTTTTAGCTACATATGGATGAGATGGCCGTGGTTAAGAATGTGAAAGGATCAACAAGCTAAATAGCATGGTGCCAGGGTGAGAAGAAATCATCAAGCTTTTGCATACATTGATGCACTGTCTAAAGACATGACAATTGAAACAGTGTGAGGTTTTTTTCCTAACCCCAAGCTTTTTTTCCATAAAAGAAAAATGGATTACCATCTTGACAACTGTTATACCGGGCCTTCTGGCTACAGAAGTAAATGACAGTCATTTATTGTGCTAGTTCTTTTCCAGTCTCCATTAATTTTTTTTGTTACACTTGAGCAGAAGCAGCTGAATGCAACTGCCACCTTATTGAGAAATGCATGCCAGAGAAAAGCTCTACGCTTCTCAGTGACAATCCTCTAACTACTGTCTATGCTGTTACCTTAAAACCACATGTACAAGAAAATGCCTTCACTCATATTTGTCCTGCTGAAACTTTACCTCAGTTCCATCCTGCAAGTTATCAGTAAACAATCTATTTATTAATTATCCCTCGATAAGGCATGCTTTGGGCTCCATTTGCTGCCTGTTCTACTCACTTTCCCATATCCCACTTAAAAAACCTCGTAGTTAGCTGACACCTCTTGCTCTGAAATGCCAGAACGTGACAAGTAAAATAAAAGCAATATGAACAAGTGCTGCTTGATGTGCGGAATAAAGTTGGTAATTACATTCATCATTTCTAATTATCTACCTATTAAGCTTGTCCAAGACGCTCATCTATCAACTAAGGGACTCTTGGAAAGAAATCCTTTGTAATTATGGGGGTTTATTTACTAGCTTTCATTCATTTCTGAGTTGCAAAGTTGTGAATGATTATTAATCGGTAAACTTTTTTTGCTCCTATAGCTTTATAGTATGGTGCAAAAATGTGATATTCAAATATGTTTGCTCAAGGACTCAGGTAATGGTCTTGCAGACCAGACTATGCAGTCGTGTACCTACAGAATGCACAAGGTTAATAAATCAAACACGTAAAGTTAATCTTAATTAGGTTGCAATCTTAATATTCTCTTTGTATTTATTTTGATTTAGATAGAACATAAACACCCACTTTTTTTTTTCACTAGTTACATGTGTTGTTAAAAATGTGTTTCAAACAACTGGATTATCTCTCTTTCTTCCCCATCACTTCTTCCTAAATTAAGTTCCCATCTCTACTACTCCTTCATTTTCTCAGTTTGCTGCTGAGTATCATGAGTCTTTCTTTATTTTTTGTACCCCACTTTGGCAGGACGGTATATTTTTTAGTTACTAAACTCAATGATTTAGAGGCATAAATACTAAGTAGCAGTTATTTAATTACTAGACATTGTGTATGTTTTTCTTCACTTCTCTGAAGAGCCTTGGAAGCAAATCAAGGCCAAAGATGATGGTTCAGATGAAGAGAACATTTTCCAGGCTAAACACAGCAATTTGATCTTTAGAGCTTCAGTTTACAAAAATAAGGATCTTCATTTATTCTTCTGAAAAATACCTATATTTGAAACAGAATTTATTAGCATAAAATAAATTGGGCAAGCCCGAAGGCTGCTGTGACAGGTGCCACTAACAGTAAGATGAGAGAAGCATGGGCAGATAAAGTTGAGTGATAAAGAATACATTTAGTTAAGAACTTTCCCATTATTTACCTTTGCAATTCACCAGAAATAATTTCATATTTTACTAGAAGTATTGCACTTTTGTTTTTTAAATCATGGTAGAGGGGGCAGCAAAGTTGTGAGGAAAAAAATAAACTGGAATGCTCTCAGAGACACACAGGTCACTGTAACTAACATTTGAAGGAGAGGAAGCACTAGAGGCTAAAAGATAGGAGAAAAAAATGAACGTCTTGGTCCCGTCGTGATTCAGCGATCTTCACATCAGCGAATAAAGGAGTGAAAAGGAGCAGCTCCCGCTGCGCTCCGGGGCAGGGCTCCGCCCGCCCACCGCCCCGCTAAGGGCTCGTCCCGCCGCTCGGCGACGTTCCGTCGAAAGCACGGGCAGCGCTGTGCCGCTTTTGCACTCGGCCGTCATGCAACCCCTGAGCGAACTGCTGTGAAAAAACAGCGGAAAAACGGGCAGGCCGCAAACCCGCACCAGCCCCGCGTACTACATCTCGTTCTCGGGTGCTTTTGTTCCTACGCTCTCTGCTCAGGCGGTCGCGCTTCACGACTTCGCCTCAAACGCCCGATTCCCGCCTCTGAGGCCGGGCCGCCCAACGAGGCACAGGGACGCGAGGCGCGCGGCCGGGTGTGAGGCCCGGCACATGGCACGCGGCACATGGCGCCCGGCCCCGCCCCGCGCGGCCCCGGCCCGGCCCCGCCCCGCGGCGGCGGGAGAACAGGCGCCGCTGTGGGGCTGCCCCGCGCTACCCGTCAGGCGCCGCGCGGCCACCCACCCCCTCCCCGCGCGCCCGCCCTCCTTTCCCCGGCGGCGGCTGAGGTGGGGCGCCGCTATTCGGCGATGTGAGGCGGCTTCGCCAACGCGGCCGTTCCCATCCCCCCCGCCGGCTCGGCAGCCAGGAGCGGGGCGGCGCGCCGCGGCTCCTTCGGACGCGGAGCACGGTAAGCCGGCCCGCCCGCCGCTCTTGGCCTTCCCGCCTTCGGGCCGCGGGGAGCCTCGCCGCGCGGCGGGCGGGCGGGCCGCGGGGGGATTGTCGCCTGCGAGACCGACGCCATCTTAGGTCGGAGCGCGGCCTTGCGGCCTCCGGAGCGGGGCCCCGGGATGCGAGGGCTTCCTCGGGAGGCCCCGTTGGAAATCGAGGCGCTTTCCACTTTGGCCGTCTCCGCGAGGCTCTCCCAGGCCGGGCTCCTCCGTCTCGCGGTGCCGCAGCTGCCGGCGTTGTGCGCCGGGCCCGGGCCGGGCCTCCTGCCGCCCGCTGTGGCGCGCGGGCCTCGCCCGGAGCCTGACCCGCGGCCCTCGGCCGAGCTCTTCGGCGGGCTGCGGCGCTGCCGGCGTTCGCGCGGCCCGCGGCGGGAGAGACGAGCCTCGGGCGGAGCGGCTCCAGGCCGCCTGGAGACCCGGCTGACTCCCGCCGCCTCGCGCCCATCGTGGCGCGGGGTGTGAACTCCTGACTTGTTTGCGGAGGCATTGCCCTTCCCTAGGCGGAGCTTACGGCATCGCAGGGCAGGGAGCGCAGCGTTGGTTGGGTTTGTTTGGCTTTTTTTTTTTTTTTTTTTTTCTTCTTTCTCCTGAGGGAAGCTCTTAACTTTTTAAAACTTTCAGATTTAGTTTTTGTTTCATTGTTGTTTCTTCGCTGCGGAAGAAAGCACGGCACCCAACAAAAATGCGGTTGCTCTCATTCCTCGGGAAGCTGCAGGTCTCATGCTCTTTTGCACCTAACATGGCACCAAACTTGTGTGAACTTGTGTGAGAGGTTACCTGGAAGATTATGTGTAGGTGCTCATAATATCAGGTTGTGTTGCACATAAAATCATGATCCCTTTAATTTGAAGTGTGGCTATTAAACCAGAGAGTAATGTGAACAAAGGTTGGATAATTCCATGATAAGCAATATGGAGAGATGACAAACAGGGCTGGCCTGGAAGCTTTCTGACTAATCCAGACACTCTCACTCTTCAAGCACACCACCAATTCTAGGCTGGTCATTCAGTTTCAGGTGCTCTTAAAGCAGTCTGAAGAAATGTTTGTTGGAGCTTTGATAGTTGACCATAAGAGTGGAACAAGCATCTGAAGAAACGCAAGCTTCCCGTAACTTTAAATCTTACTGCAGCTGTATTTGCCATGATTTTCTATAGTACTAATTTCTGTACATCTCTAACACCTGCTTCAGCAGATTGCCTTCTGGTGTTGCCTATGGTCTTATGGTTTTTTTTGGCGGGGGGGGGAGAGGGGTGGGAGAATGTTAATTATGTATGTAAGCCTAATAAATTTCAATGACTAGCCTTAGTTTTTGCTGGCCAGAGGCAAACATCAGCTGTGCAATGGTGAGAACAGGAAGCTTTTTTTTTTTTTTTTTAACTAACGTTGCCTTTTTAAGCTGTATCTTTATGCATTCTAATGTTATTTTAAAATGTTTTGAAGAACTTCACAACTCTTGATGCTTTCTAAGTTAGAATGGAGTTTTAAATACTTTTATGACATATCTGGGATGTCATTGGAGTTATGGACCTTTCTGATCCATAGGCTGCTTTTGAGGAGATGTGTGTACAAATTCATGCTTGTTGTTGTACAGAGTAAAAAGAAAATAATAAACAATGCAGTGGAGACTACATCCACTGGCAGATATTGGTGGAGAGGGCAGAAGGAGTCACTGTTATTGTTGGCTTTGAGGGGAGCAACTAGCAGAATTCTTGACAGGCGTGTTCTGCGTTTATGAAGTTAAAGCTGAACACTTTAAAACAAACTGTGCACTAAAAACTGATGTAAATGTTTCTGTTGGCAGTGAAGACTATTTGAGCAGTTCCTGCAGATTTCTTGTAGTCAAACCTGTTCCCTTTTACTGCAATGTGATTCCTTAGCCCACTGATTTTTTGACCTTTCAGTCACACCAGGCTATTTTTAATGTGCACAGGTTTGTGTCCTAGTGCCTGAAAAGCTGTACTAACACAGCTGAAGGAGCTGCACAGGAGCAAGGTAGGAACTTGCTTGGCTGACTGTTGCCAAGGAAAATGTCAGATAAAGCATGGCTTCCCTTCATGGCATTGCAATGAATGATATGGAAAGAGCTGAAATAATTTGATACTTAATTTAAAAAGCATTGCTTCTTTTTGAGTCACCTCTTGAGAATTCTTTGAGGTGTATTGATTCATAAAATGGAATGGCTTATAAGTGGTGACACCAGTTGATATAACCTTCTAAAAGTTCAGGCTTATGTTATCAAATTTACATTAAAAAAAAAATCAGTCACATTATAGTGCAACTGAGGTTATCACATGCTAATGTAGTTTTTTTGTATCCTGTTTTTGTATAAACTATTTGTGCTCTCACATCTTCTGAGTATGTTTTATAACTGATTGCTTTTTTCCTAAGGTGAAATAAAATTAATTTTCTTAAATAAAAATACCTCTTGTCTTCATATGTATGTGTTCAAGTACATGAGCAGTGGCTCTTAAAATGGTCTTTGCTTTTTGCCTTGAAGTTCGACGAACATCATCTCTCAGTAAGTAAAACAAAGGCCATTTGTAGAGGAAGAGTTGGCTTTGACTCTTTTAAAACCTGGCACATGGCCCCTCTTGTTTCTGTAACGTGGAAATAGGCTTCACGCTCTCTTTTTTCCTGTGACAAGAACCTGGACTCATGTCCTGTTTTCTTTAGCACCTTGTTGAACTCCAGCAGCTTAATCTGAAGAAGGAAGGAAGAGCATAGCTCTCCAGTGTCAGATTGTCTCCAAAACGTGGCATGCAACGTTAGCAGGCCCATTCTTCATACTTCAGCGCAAATAGAGGCAGAATTTTGACTGCTTCTCTGTGATGAGCTGTCACAGACTTGCTGTCAGTCCATCACCCAATCTTGCAGTGCATTCCTCCTGTCCTGAAGTTGTCTCGTCTTATTAGATGTTAGATGTTTTCTTACTGAATACGTGCAGAGTACTTTGGTTTCAAATGCTGTTGAGAGGTAGTGAGGAGGTATTCTTAGCTTTAAGTCATTGTATTTTCAAAAAAGAAAGTTCTATCAATGTTTAATGTATATGTTGCTCTTGAAATACTTAGGGAAAAGAGAAGATCGTGGGAAACTACAAGGGAAATTCTTGAATAAACACCCTTTACACATTATAGGATTAATTATTCAGTTTAAGAATATCAATTCATAAACGTAATCTTGATTTTGATCACCTTGTGTATAAGGCTTGATAGTCTTTAATGACATAATCATCCATAATCTTTATTTCTAAAACATCTGAGCTTGATTGAATGTGGGCAGTTGATAAATAGATAACAGAATTCAGACTTCAGGGGTTAAGTTGAATGTTAATATTTACTGAGGATTTTGGTGTCAGGGGTCTAGACAGTCAAGGTAAAAGATTAGAGTTTGTGATGTGTTTCCAAGATAATGCCTAAATGAATAGTTTTTACCTTCACATAATTCCAGCTGCTTCTGGGCAGAGATTAGCTTGCAAAAACTGCAAGGCTTTCAGTGAAGTGCTATGGGATCACAGACTGTAGGAGTTAGAAGGGACCTGTGGAGATACCTAGTCCAGCCCCCTGCAAAAGCAGGCTGCACAGGAAAGTGTGCAGGTGGGTTCTGTGTATTTGCAGAGGAGACTCCACAACCTCTCCAAATGGTTTGTTCCAGTGCTGTGCCACCCTCAAAGAAGTTTTCTCATGTTTGTATGGAAATTCCTGTGTTCTAGTTTGTGCATGTTGCCTCTTGTCCTCTTGCTGGGCACCACTGAAAAGAGCTTGGCACCATCCGTTGACTCCCACCCATTAGGTATTTATAAGCATTGATAAGAGTTCCTCTCAGTCTCCTCCAGCACGAACAGTTCCAGGACTCTCAGCCTTCTCTTGTATGGGAGGTGCTCCAGGCCCTTCATCATTGTGTGAGCCAGCACTCCAGATGTGGCATCAGCAGAGCAGAGTAGTGGGAAGGGCTGCCTCCCTTCATCTTCTGGCCATGTTCTCTTTAATGCTTCCCAGGACATTGTTGGTCGTTTTGGTCATAAGGGTGCACTGGTGGCTCATAGTCAATCTGTTGGCCCTCAGAAAGCTCAGTCAGTCTCCACAGAGCAGCCCCGAAGCTGCACTGCTGCATTCAAGTTCACTGTTTTACTGTGAATCCTGATCCTGCTTATTGCAGAGGCAGCCCTTTTGATTTTATGAAATGAAAACTAGTGTAATATTTTATTTCCTGTACTGCTCAGAAATGCTTTCAAGATTATGTAACAAGGGATGGGAAGCCCTGGTAAAATCTTAGTTTTTGCAAATGTGGTGAGTTTTGAGCTTTTGTATTTACATGCGTTGTGTTTTTTTGGCTTAATATTTTTTTAAATATGTGAGGAGAATACAGCTCCATCTGGCTTTAAGTTATTCACTTTGGCACGTGTTTTACGTGTTTTGTCATGATAAGGGCATTCATGTGACTTATGAGTAATATAACTGTAATAGAGGTGTTTTAAAGGATACCTTTTTGTAATAGAGGTGTTTTAAAGGATACCTTTTGCTGTAGTTTAGAAGCTTGCTCTTGTGGTTACTTACATATATGATTCAAAAACAGTTTAGATGATATGGGAAATGTCTTGGGAATTTTCTGACGTTTAATATTAAAGATGAGGATTCAGAATTATCAGAAATTAGACGAACTGTTGATCTTTAGAGATCACTTAGATCAGATCAGCTTGAACCTGTGTGGAATGTGGTGGGGAGGAGGCTATTCCGTGGGGATCATTGGCAAGTACGGTAATTTTTGTTACTGAACAGCTATCTCACTAAGTACTGAATGTTCTGTTGAATATTGTTTTTAAATTATTTACTGTCTAGTCTCAAGATGGCAGAGTTATTCATGGAATGTGAGGAAGAGGAGCTAGAACCATGGCAAAAGAGAGTGAAAGAAGTGGAGGAGGATGATGATGATGATGAACCGATCTTCATTGGAGAAATCTCAAGCTCAAAGCCAGCTAGTACATGTAAGACAACGCTTTCCATAATTTGACAGATACTTTATAATGCGAAACTTCAAACTTGCTTTGAAAATATGGAATTTGTAGTGTTAAGATTTAAGGAGTTCTTCATTTTAGAGCTGTTCTTTAGTTTGTTGTCTTATACTGAAAGTTGGAAATTTTAGTTCCTAAAATATGGGTTATGTGTAGCTGTCTGTACCAGTGAGCTTAAGTCTCTCAAGTAGAAGCAAAGACATTTGAGGATTTTAGTACGGTTAAAAGTCTAGTATAGACAATGCTGAAAGCACGCAATTGCTCTTAATAGAGTTGATATTTAAGTAGATACCTCACCTCTCCCTGCTAAAGTAAATGCATGAATTCTAGTCTTCATGCAGCAGTTCCTCTTATTTTCTCTGCTGCTTATTTTGTGTGTTTGAAGTCAGTCTGAACGTGTGGCCATCATTCTGGTAACTGTCCAAGTGTGTGTTAATAAGGCATAATTGGGGAAAGCGTATCATGTGAAAATAGTGCAAGCCTCTCTGCTAAGTTGGAGGTTTCTACTAATAAACTCATTCACTCCCTATAAGCTAAGAGATTTTTTTTCATCAAGTTCTGTAGTTTTCTCCGATTGCAGGCAGTACAGGGAATGAGTGTAGGTGGTTGTGGTGACAGCAGATGTATAAGGATTCAGTGTTTGTCCTGTGCTTGATCTTTGACAGGTAAGTGGAGAATACTTATTTTTGCTACTTCAATTGATTTTAGGAGTGACAAATTTTGATCCTGTGTGTGGCTTGTAGTCAGTTGTTAAGAAGTTTTGCCTAAGCATTCTCCGGTTTCAAATACACAAGGTTGCCTGGTTTCATGCTGTCTGGTTACCTCATCTCTGCTGTGTTTTTATTTGAGATTGTCATAGGCATTTTCTGAAGGTATATAGTTTATGGTAAAGAATCTCAAGGCAAGATGTTAAACCAGGCTCTTCCCCTCACTCCATTGTGTGGACTCTGGACTATTACTGGCTGTTCTGTCATCTTAGATCATATTACTTTCATCTTGCATCTGAGCTCTATTGGACTTTGTTTCTTACTCACTGGAAATTATCTTTAATTCTTTTTGCACTAGCTTAAAATTTTTGAAAATGATGTTTTAAGTATTAAAGAAGTTGATGTTAGAGCTCACCTAAAAATAGTTATTAAGGGTTAATGGTTTTGAATGCTTGAAAAATGGTCTAGATCCTCTTGAAAGTTTTGAAGAATATTTGAAATTTAGTCTAAGAATCTGTCTGCGGTTATAAGCTTCCAGAAGGATAGGAAAAATACTCTTTACTGTAATGTTATGAGATCTGAGACCTCTGGATTACTGTTGGTTGTTAGCACTAGATCATGGAATTGGACGATTATTAATGTGCTAGACATACATTAGAGCAACAAATATGCCAAGTTTCATTGCATCATTCAAGTCTAAATGTTTTTTTCAAGTGGTAAAGTACAGAAACGCGTTGCAGGTGAGAACTGTAATTTTCATACAATTCAGCAACTTCAAGAACTTTAGGTGAAGTAGGCTTGCAGTGCATGCATCTTATTCTAGAGGTGTCCGTACTCAGTCCTGACACAAGTAAAATCACTTACAGTATAACTTCTTACTTTCTCTTTTCCTTCCCTTCCCCGATTTTTCTCCTTGTAATCTTCTACTTCACTATCAAAAACAGCTATGGAAGAATGACCTCAGTTCTTCTTTGGCTTGTAAGTAGTACTGCCTGCCTGTAGTCAGGCTTCGGTTTGCAGAATCTTTGTTGGTAATAGGCAAACCACAGCACTCAGCCTTCCTTGCCACTGCTGTTTAGTTTCTACACAAGAAAACTCCTGCCTGGTCAGATGGCAAATGGAGGCTTGCCTATTATTCCTAATTTTTCTGGAAGGTATGTTTTCTGCAATACATGGCCATCTTTTTAACCTTCTGCCGACAGTGCAGTTATTAACTGTTAACTTGTAGGATTTTACAGTAGCTGTTTTTTTTTTTTTTTTTTCTTCATTCTGTTTTTGTTGTTGTCATTGGGGTTTTTTGTGAGAATAAAAAGAGGCTTTTGTTGGACTGTGGAATTTAAATATGGTATGGATTTGCTAACTGGAGAATATACGTTTTCAGGTGAATCCCAAATTCAGCTATTCCTTGCTCATAGATGATGTTGTTTGAAGTAAGAATAATACAATTTTTGCAGAAGTAGATTTATCATATCTTGAAAATGCAAGCCTGCTTGGATCTGTTGGTTGCAGCTGCTTTTTCATTAGTATTATCTACGTGAGGGTAACAGGTTGAGAGCTGTTGTGAGCTCTGCTGCCATTCAATTTATTTATCAGTCTGAGTACTATGTGAACTTATCTGTGAAAACAGCATTAAGGTGGTTAAGCACGATCTATAGATGTTCTAAGACATCTTGCTTGAGATTCTGATGTAATTTGACCCTCGTTTGAGAGGGTGCTTTTGATCTTGTAGATTTGGAGCTACAATATACGTGTGTTTTCACACGTTTGAGCAAGAAACCTGGCAACAACATGAAGTGAATTGAGAATCTGGTGGTAGAAGAGTATTTTGATTTGGTGAATGTTATTTTAACATTCTAGAATTAACCTAAAACCCCATGTGAAGATGGAGGTAGCTGAGGAGTGTTGGTTAGGGAATAAGCATCAAATCTAAGAAACTTAACTTGTTTCCAAAAAATTAGAATTCTAGTAATAGACTGCTGTCTAGGATATGTTAGAAAATCAGTCCTCTCCAGTATGACTCCTGTATCTTCTCTTTGATTTCCCTTGGTGCTGGAAACTGGAGTTTAGAAATTATTGAGAGAAAATGGTTCCTTTTCTCTGAAGCAGTTGTAGCATTTGGGGGACTTCTTACTGTGCATGCTACAAAGAGAAGTGAATAAATGCATTTCTTACAATCAGATGAGCTAAATATTAATGAAATGTTCATAGTTTGTTTGCACTCTTATTTGTATGTTCATCTATCTCCAAGAAAATAAAACTGAGATTCTTAGGTAAACTAGCCAGCTTAAGAGAAATAGAGTAGAACATATCTTAATTTGTACAATGATGTTCTGTTTTGCCAGATTAATTTAGAAATAATATTATAAGTTATAAGTCAAATCATAATTGGCTTAATTTGTGGTTATGAATACTTCTTTTAATTTGCAAAGAGATAAGGCTATTAATTTAACTGCAATTAAGTTAAATGTAACTTTTGACAGATATATTGAACAGAGTCAACTTCAGCTCATCATGAAGGCAGATACAGAATGGTGCACCCAGTAGAGGTATTATATTGTCCTGATATGGTAATGGAAAAAACAAACACGCACAAAACCACAACTCTTAATGTAATATCTGGCCACAAAAATTATATAACGTTAACTTCAGAATCCTTTGCAACAGGTACAGTTACTTCATTCAAGTCTGACAGTCACCGTTATGCAACACCTGCCTCCTGTCCCAGTGCCATGCCTGTTTCATCAGTGTTTCAGTCTGTATCCAGATCTACTGCTAGCTCTGTAGCAGTTCAGCCGTTGTCTAGACCAGTGAATGTTTCAGGAGCTTCACAGGCACTGCAGAGACCAGTTGCTGGGTGTTTATCAGCACAGCAGGCAACCCGATCAAGTTCTGGAATATCACAGCCTGTTAGCAGACCTGTAACCATTCCAGTCACGACACAGCCGGTATCAAGAAATATCGCAGTTCCTCTAGTGGCCCAACCTGTATCCAGGCCAGTGACCTCTGTGACAACGCAGCCTATCATACTCAACCAGGTAAGTTTTTATTCCCTTAAAATACTCAGATGTGATAGTGAATAAATTGAGGAACATACTGATCACACAGTTAAATAATTTGAAGACCTTGATTAGACCTATAGAGTAGCATTAGATAAACAGTAAAGATTTTAGAACCATAATCTTGTACTAGTTAATGAAAATATATATTGATAATACTGATTTTACAAACCCTTTCTAAGTGTCAGATGTGCTGCTTGGCTTGAGAATGATAGTTTTAGTAACAGCAGTGTTACATTAAATGAAAATCTTAGCATTATATTAAATGAAATTGGTGGACAAAGGAAAGGCAACTGATGTCATCTAGCAGGAATTCTGAAAGGTTTTTGACAGTGTCCCCCACCACATCCTTACCTCTAAACTGAAGAGTTACATATTTGAAGGGTGAACTATTCATTGTGTAAGGAATCACTTGGAAGGTGGCAGGCAGAAGAGGCTTGTGGTCAACGTGTCCACATGGAGGCTGATGGAGGTCCATCCTGGGACCAGGCACTACTGACCAGGCACTTTCCTCAGTGTGAGCAAGATTCAGGTTTCACTTCCCCCAGTGAAATTTTGGTAGAGCAAAGGTCTGATACCATGCATCATTCTAATTCTGTGTGGATTGGCTATTAATTAGCATGTTACTAATTACCATGGTTCTGACAGTTAGGAAATCTAGCCGTGCACCTTAAGATTTAGTATTTGTGCTAGTCTTCTGGAAAACTGAGTGGTGGCATCTAGTTGTGTGGTTTTTTGTTTTTTTTTTTTTTTTTACTTACCTGAGTGCTGGCAACATCATTTATAAGAATACCGGTCGTAGACTTTCTGCACATGAGTACACCTGTGCAGGTTGGATTTTTTTCACTGATCTGGTAAAGCTGTTCTGTTATTCAGAACGTTTTTTGTTTTCTGAAGCATGAGAAGATGTTTATTTTCACACACTTGGCTCTGTTGTTTTGCATATAAAAACAAAACATTTTAAACAAAAGGGGACATTTGGAGAATATTGTGACTGAATTTCCAGGATGTCAGCCTTTACTTCCTTCCTCCCCAGATGCAATCAGTACATAATAGGGAGATGCACGGATGCCATCAAAATTCCTGGTCTTTTGGAGAAATGGTAGCAGCTCTTCAAAAAAGAAAGCAAGCCCACCCAAGGCAGTAAGAAGGGCACATTTTACTTTCATGCGTTGTGCTGATCATGTTTAAAGTGAAGGTGGTTCTGTGAAGTCTTCCGTCCAGTCTAAGAGCTACCACAGGCTTACTAGCTGAAAAGAGGGGTTTACAGGATAAGCTGCTTTGCTTGTAATTTTGCTGTCTAGTACAAAGCCATCATGGATTCAGTTAAACCTGATGTGTTATGACCTGTGTAGTTTTTTTGTAAAAAGTATAGCAAAGATGTTTAACTATTAATGTTCTTAGCATTATTCTGACTTCCACAGCTGCACTTAAACATTTATGTTTGATTTGGTTACGTTGGATTAGATCACTTTCCAGAGAGAAAAATGGGTCTTCATTATCACTAAGGTCCTATAGTGTCTTCATTTAAGAGTTATACAATAAAAAGAGGGGGATGGAGAGAAACACCTTTTGTTTAATTAAATTCTTTACTGGTACTTAGGAGTCCTAAAACAGGTTATCATACCTGAATGCTAGATGTGAATTTGTGTATTCCTTGAGACTTGTTTCCAACAGTGTAAGTGTGGTGGTAGTTAAAAACGTAGCAATTTAAATGTGAAAATAGCCTTTGCCTGCTTGCTTACTAGAGTGGGGAGCATTGTAAGGCACTGATTTTTACTGCGTAAGATGTTGTGGTCTTTGTTTCATGAATACGTTGGTGACAAAATGCATGTATCATAGAATTATGGAATGGGTTGGTTTGGAAGGGATGTGGAAGATCCTGTAGTTCTAGCCTCCTGCATAGGTGCTGGATAATCATTTTTTATGTATGTGCATTGGGTTATCATTTTTTATTTTCAAAGGACGTGCAGCTAATCCTTTCTAGTTTTGTTTCAAGTACAGTGTGATGAGGTGCAACTAATTGTGTTATTCCAAAGTAGAAAGGTCAAGTGCCAACATAAGTGCCATGCATACATTAATGTTGAAATTGAATGCAACTTAATCATAAGGTTTCTCTTAATGCATTACTACTATTAGTAAAAATATTTCATGTTCCAGATTTGGTCAGTATGAATGGCCTATTGAGATGTGAGCAGCACTGATGTATTTTGGGAAGTGTTTTTCACTGACTTTACCCTGTAGTTTTAAATATTTGTAAGGAGAAGTAATGTTTGTGGTTCTTTCATGGTTCTTTCTTGTTTCTTCGAGCAGTGCTTAGTAAGTAACCTTAGTAAGGTCATGGAGGTTGTTCAGTTTTAGTAGATTTCAGTGTTGCAGCTGAGAAATGAAGACTATTTCATTTTTTTTTAATAATGGGTCTTGCTGAAGGACAAACCTGTTAACTGAAGGGTGGAAAGGTATCTGTACTTGCAGGTGCTCAAAAGCCTCAAGATGCTGAGAAACATGAACCTACTTTTGCATTAGCTGTGCTTTGAAAATCGTGTTGGATTGTGTTATTCCAAAGAGCCCTTTTGAAATTATTCTGTTAAAGAAAAAGGCAAACCATAGATACCATGAATTTGAGTGCTGCTCACAGTCAGTGTGCTGTAGGTACACTGTGGCTTTCATTAAAGCTTGGTCGTGTGCAGAATTTGACCAATGTCATCTTTGAGAAACTTCTGACCCCAGCAAGTTTGTTCACCTGAGTTCTGATTTCAGGTCTTCTGAAATACATGTAGCTATTACACAGGAGTGAAAGAGTTAAAAGATAATCGCCTGAGTTTGTGTTGAAGGAAGGAAGCTCTACAGTTTTCTTAGAAAAGTAGAGTACAGTTTGAAACGTCATAAGACTTGTACAAAAGCAGGTGCCATTAGCAATCTACATAGTTTGAGTTGTGTTTCAGAAAATGTTCTTTCTTGGGTCTTATGGCTATTTTTTGGAGATACAGCTATGAGTAACTTAACAAGCACTGGTAAGAACTGCATACTTAAAATGTCAAAATAAACTGTTTTGGGGACACTGTTATTAACTTGATTTACAGATGAGTACTTATGAGTACTTGTAAGCAATCATATGTTTTTAAGAATAAACCCTTTAGAGCCTGAAATTTAGAAAATGTTAAACCTCAAATTTCTTTTCCTTCTTGGAAATATCTTACTAGGATTATATTATGGATTCTCCACCAGATGCACCAGATGACACATCTGGTATACTGTTCGGTGTGAGACAGAGCTCGGGAGTTCCACAGTACCAGACTGAGCCAACAGTGAGTCTAACAGGTGGGTATAACTGTGGTAGTTGATAGAAGAAAGAAACAGTAATGGCATTTAATTGTGGTGCAGATCTGTGGGTTGTAATTTTAAATGAAGTTTTTAGAATATAGAAGTCTAGAACTTTTTTCTTTCCCTATATATTACATTGTAACTATATAATGCTTTATGACATAAACCTCAGAACTTTGTGTTGTCAGACTTAACTTTTTATTGCTTTAGACTGAATTACTGTGTAATGTTCATTTGGATTTAAAAAAGAAAATACTGCCAGATCCACTGTAATCTTCTTGACAGATAAAGGCTCATTTTTTTTAATATCAAACACTTTTCAGCTAACATGAATAGGAATGGCTGTTAGCAAGAGAGGGGCTGTGGAACAGTGCCAGAAGAACTTCCTATGTCTGCTGAGTGGATTCCCAGTGATGATTATCTTGGTTTCCTGACTGCTATGTATAGCACTTAGAGTAATTGGGATCAAAAGGATCCTGTGTAGAAAGGGGAAAGGAAAGAATATTGTTTGGCAACACTTTTTTTTTTTTTTAGCTTGCTAAGCTGAAAGTTCAGCAGGAACTATTTTACCTACTTAAAAAGACAACAAACCACTTTTTTGTCATAACAGATGGAAGCATGTAGTATTTTCAATTGTAAACACACTCTAATTTGAAATTTCCCCTTTTTTTTTTCTTGTGAAGGATTGCACTTTTGTAATAACTGACCATAATCCTATCAGTAAATTATAGATTAAAAAAAAATTCTGGTTTGTATTTAAGGTAATGGGCTGTGTAAAATGAATGGCCTAACAGTCGTAATAGAAGTAACATGAACCCAGTTTTAGATTGCTAGTCTCCTCTGCTTGATATGATAATTTTTTGTGTCTCTAGTTTAGGTATTCACTGCAGCTACTCATCAGTGAAGGCAGTATATTTCTTTGCATGGGTCCAACTAATCTGTGTTCTGATTCTCCTCTTAGTGGAACAAACTGCTTTTTTTAAAGTAAGCAAGGGTTTTATTTATTGCACGTGGTTTGGTTTTCACCTCCAGTTCTTCAAAGCACAGGTGTTAGTATAATTTTCTAATTTAGGAAACTTGCATATTTAATAACTGTATATTTGGCTCTTATCCAGAAAAATGAAGCACTTAAAGGCATCAAGAATTGTAGTTCATTGTGTCTTAAATATACCATACTTAGTGTATGTCTACTTCAGTAAGATACATACACAAAAAATAGAAAACTGAAAGGTTTATAATTCCTGTTTCAACCTTGATTGAATGTCTTATGCTCCTTTATGACACCCAAGGCTAATGTAACACATAGATACTTCTGTAGTTCACATGCAATGATACAATGTATATTGCAATAGTAAAGTGTTTCATAATGGCTACGAAACATTTAGGAAAGTTTTCAACAGTAGCATGAAGTGAAGGTGTCTGTTGCATTCAACAAACTAGTCTGAAGCATCAGTGATGCCAGGGATTTCTGTTTCAATGTAGCAGACCAGAGCCACCTTAAGATGACAATGAAAACAAGACCTGTTTTATACCAGTTAGATACTAAATAATACTTAAAATAATTTTTGCTTATTTTTCAAAAATGCCTTAAAATAGAGGGTTTTTTAAATGAACAAACAGCAAAATTCAAATGCAGATGGGTCTGTGATCTCATAGTATGGTTATAACTTCTTTGAAAGAGGGAATTTATTAGGTCAGAGGTGTATAAGTCAAGGTAAGAATGCTTACTTTATAGCTTCTATATAAAATAATCTTCAGAACATTTTAAGTGTCACAGATAGGTGAAGGTTTTGACTTTTTTTTGTAATAGGAATTATTACTAATTTTGTTAACGTAAGGATTTTTTTCTTTAGAAATCAGGGTTTCTGTAGTAAACTGAAGTATTTTACTGAAGATTCTTGAAAAAGACCTTCTGTCTTATCCCTGCCCCTTACTACCTAGCTGTACATAATTAAATATGTAGCATTTATGAGCGATGTGGTTGGTGGCCTTGTGCTGAGGTGGATTCAGCAATGCAGAAGAGTGCAGAAGTTTTAACAGCTGTATGAAAGCTTTTTGTGGTCAAGTAAAGAAGAAATGGAAAAATATAACAAGTGAGTACATATGAGGCATACTGTGATAAATCTCCAGATGCTCAAACATCAGCCTTTCCTGCTGGGAATCTGCCTCACAGGACTGGACAGGGAGGCAGTTTGCTTGGTGTAGGTAGTTATCACTGAATAAAAACAGCTTAAGTGTGGAGCAGGCGGTTGTTTTCTTAAATACTGGAATACTTTTCTGCAACAAGTTATCTCTGATCATTGAGAAAGTTCTTAAGATAATAGTTCAGCTCGTAACTACAACCAGAGAAGTTATTGGAACAGTTGGACAGATGGAAGTGGAGATCAGTGTCTTGGACTAGTTTTCTGCAAGTGCATACCTTATCATGCATAGTGTTAAGGCTGTGTGCAGCCTGTGATTGTGGAATGCTGACAAATAAGACCTATGCTGTTTCCTCAGATGTGCTGACATGGTGCTTCAGGTTTGCTTAGAGATTGATCACTGTATCAAGATAATGTCGGCTGGGTCCCCAGTCCAAGGATAATCTTACAGTAATGGAGGTGCTGGTTTCAGGACAACACGAAGTCAAATACTTAAGGGCCAGTTATTAGGCGCTACATCTCTGCATTTTTAGAACTATTTTTAGGGACTTTTTTCTTTGAAATATTGCAAACAATCAGTGAATTGATTTATTTTCAGAAATGGGCAAATTGGCATAATGTGATCACTTGCTGGAAATAACACTATTTTAATCTTTGGTATTATTTTATGCACAGAATAAAATCTCAAGTGTTTTATAATTATTTAATATTTTATAAATCATACTTATGTTAAATGAGCTTGAACAGAAGCTGTTCATGAGAGACTTTTCCGTCAGAACAGCCTAAGTCATTCCAAATAGCAGGCAGTGCAGAAACCAGCTGGTTAGTTCTAACTTTATTGTGAACCTATCTGAAATTAGAGTGAGTGAGGATGTAAACAGCAGGCCAGAGAAGTTCAACTGAACGTAGTATGGTCTGTGAACTCAAGGATGGGGCCATGTATCTTGGCTTTTATCCTTTTCTCAGCTGGTTTGAGAAAATTGAGTTGGATATTATTTTGTTCACTACTGTATGATTTATTATGTTTATTAATAATATATTTTTAAATGTGTATAATTTATTATTATGGGAGATCTTAACTGCTGTATTGCTTTGAGTGGGATGCAAGACAAGCACCTGTGTGCATTCCTCTTAAGTTCTATGATCCTGTTACTTGGACTAACTATTGCCAAGTGTTTTTTGCAGTTTCCACCCTTCTTTTGCAATGATTGTTTTTGATACAGTTTAAAATTCTAATAGAAAGGGAGGAGGAGAATTCAAGTTTCAGGTTGCTCTTGGAATGACTTTCCCTTTGAGAAAAGAGGTAGTCTGGCTGTCTCAGTATATTAATAATCAAGCATGTTTCCTTCTCAGCCAAAAAGTGCTTTCCAGCTGATCGTAAAAGATCAGGATTTATTCTCAACTTTGAGGTATTTCCATCTGCATATTTTCTCCTGTGATACTAAAATGAGAAGCTACCTACAGAGTGATTCTATTGTATGGAATCATTTCATGTTTGTTTTTACATGTCTTGTTTGCAGCTGTTCTACTGTCAGACTCTTTCCCAGCAAACAGCAGAGAGTGGCTATAAGATGAAATATTGATGGAAATGTTTCCTCCTCCCTACGTTAGGTAAAACAGTGCATTGCAGCCTAAAATGTACAAAAGAGGTTCTTATCTGTATTCAGGAATGAAGAACTGCATCGTATTTACCGAGAATCTGATTTTTATGAGTTTGTCTCTAAGAAGTTCCATAATTGCATACAAATGTGACATGCCTCAGTTCTGAGGCACTACAGAACACTAGGTTTGCTGTAGAACTTTCCAACTTAGTTTGCCCTCAGCAGACTTGTCAAAGTTTTACAAACTTAGTATTAAGGACCATAGCATCGCTGTTGTGCGATCTCTTGTGCATCTCTTGCACGGTCATCCACTCATGTGAAGGATTACCTGCTTAATTATGATTTTTAGCAGTAACGTTATGCTCTTGGAAAAATACTGCTTGATCCATATCTAGTGCGTGGACTGTGCAATATTACTTTTCTCACAAGATGTATAAGGCTGTTGTGTAATCATATCTTACCCTGTATTTCTATCCTTGCTATAAGGTGAATGTATCTGTGTGTTTCATAGCCTTGCAGTGTACATCTGACCCTGAAGTTGAGATATTACTTGAAACTTTTTTTAGTTTAATCTGATTTAACCTGCTTAGTTTGCACGGAGTCCTCCAGATCTGTGAATGACTTGTATATGCAAGAGAACTTCATCTGAAAAAGTAGCTCTCACTGGTGCTTTTTTGCACTTTGGAGAGGACCGGAAGATTGGGTTTACTCATTAGTGTTAAACATGAGACAGTTTTTTGTTTTATTTCTGTTTTAATTTGTGTGAAAGGTATTAATTTACTCTGATAAGAACACTATTCTTTACTTCCATCCATTTGTGGGAGTAGTTATTTAGAGGATTTGTTCTGTGAAGACACATTTGTTCAAAAGGAGTGATGCATCTGAATAGGCCTAGGTTACAGCTCCTGCCAGAGAGAAATAGGCTCGTTATTGAGAACCAGGTGGTGAGATTACTTTCAAAAGCAGTTCTCTTATCCCTGTATGATGATGGCTAGGTCCTGGCATAAAAGTAGTTCTGTGTGCTTCTTCAAGAATTTTAATCTCTTAAATCTGTCTCGTTTTGGGGGTAAGTGGGGAGGACAGAATTAATGCTTTGTCTCTATCGTGTTTCCATTACCTCCCATTTTTCTGTGATTACTAAGATTTTTGTAAAAGTGTATGATGAACAGAACAAACTGAAGTTGATTTTGGGCTAAAGAATTTTAATTAGAAGGTGGTAGTAAAATGTTGCATATGGTCACTCCTGTCACATCAGTTGCAGTTTCATTTCAAATAGTATGTTTTGCTAGAATAATAACTAACATACCTGTTATTCTGATTGCAAATTCTGACTTTTACATGTGTTTTACAGATACAAGTACTGCATCAAGCAACATTAAAAATGGAGGGCCATTTCCACGAGCTTGTCCAAAGTGCAATATTCATTTCAATCTTATGGATCCTTTAAAAAATCATATGAAGGTAAAATAATTTGAGGATGATGAACATTATAAACTGAAGTAGGCTTCTGGTCATGAAAAATGTTTCAGTTTGTAGATAGTCTGGCTTCTGTCTTTGATTAGATGGGACTAAATTTTTGTGAAGTCAGAGAGATAAAGAATGAGAGCCTTAAGTCTTGTTACTTTGGGCATTATTTTTTTCAATGAAATGAGGCATATATGCTGCCTCTGTGAATTCTCTCTCACAGCTGTAGCTTTTGAACATTTGGCCAGATAACAAGAGAATTTGATGAAAGTAAGTCTGTAGTAGCAATGCAAGTTGGCCCACTAGTACTGCTACAGCAGCCTGTTGACCCACATCTGTGGTAGGTGATTTCTAAGGCAAAAATAACCTTGTAAATTAAACTTTTTTTCCTTTATATATCATATGGGAACTTAAAAAGTCTTCTGAGGGAAAAACATTAATTTGTAACGCATACTTAAAGTGATAAACAAAGCTTTCATAAACTATGCATCTGTTACTCTTTATGAAGCCTACTTGTCATTGTTTCCAGAAACATTGTTTCCTGGAAAATGCTTTTTTTTTTATAATTTGGTAGAGATTAGCACAGTTCTCAGGGATCTATTCCATTTCAGAGAGAACAGAAATGTCTTTGCATACAAGAATAAGTCATGTAAAAAGCTGTATGAATTACTTTGGAACAGAATTTTTTGATGCTCTCAATTGCTGTTAACGCAAATTGTTGTAGTTTGAAGGATTTAAGATAAATTATAGCTAGTGTCCTATTTAGCTTCAAAACCCAATTAAGAAATGTACAATTCAGAAATGTTATCTTTCTCTAATCATTTTTTGTAAAGAATTGCTTTTGCACTTGGTACATTAAATGAATGAAAGAGCCATGGATGACAAAAAACAACTTTTTTTTTTAAATTCCTATTTACAAAAAGTGTGCTGTCTTCAATTTCTGCACTAGAGAATGAACAGCTTACCAGAAGGTAATCATGCACAGTAAGACCTGTTTCCCAGCGGGAGATGAGCATTCTGGTTTTGCTCATAGTTACTAACTTGATAGCATGAAGTATCTCATATAGGATATGCTTTTAAAGCATTAAGCTTTGTTGTACAGCTATTGGGTTAAGCATTCATTGTCTACTCTTTCAGGTGAATACAAGTGACGTGTCTGCTGTGTGACCTAGAATTTCTAAATTTTTCAGTAAAGCTGAAAAAAAAACCTTGCAATTCTCAACAAATGTTCTCCCTAAGGAAGTAAAAAATTGCATGAAGTCCTCAATAAACTTGTGCTTGTCAGTAAACTACTGTATGAGAATTGCTTTTCTTCCTTGTTTTTAAATTTTAGGAAGTAGACATTTTTCTAATGAGTAAGGCACCGCTAGGCAGCTCTGACATTCTGATTTGAACTGGAAACTTATTTACATGAAACCATGAGAATAGTTATTCAGTGTTAAAAATACTTTGTAATGTATTACCTAAATGTTACTGAAAGATCAGTCCAGAGTTAAAAATGCGTATGTGAGCATGAGTTTGAGTTGGTGTGTCACAGAGTTGAAGCTTTGCATGTAGCCCTGATTAGCAGGCAGTTTCAGTTTTAAGATGCTGTTCTCACTGATGGAATTTGTTAAGGGAGTCAGTCTTACACCTTTTGTCTCTGTTTCTTCTCTCCCTTTCCATCTAGTATTGTTGTCCAGATCTGGTTAATGACTTTTTTCTGGGTGTGGTCCAAACGGAATGTTCCACTACAACAAGCAAGACTACTGAATATGAGAAAGGAAAGTTGATTATGTTAGTTAATGATTTCTATTATGGGAAACATGAAGGTGATACCCAACAGGTACAACAGGAGCAGAAGACTCATACAACATTTAAGTGCTTCAGCTGCCTGAAAGTTCTTAAAAATAATATAAGGTATTTGAACTCACTTCCTTAATGTTTTAATGATTTACAGCCCGTGTCAGTTAATGTCATGCATTTGAAACTTGTCTATTTGGAATAGAAAGGATTTGTTTTGTGTGTCTTGCAAACTATTAATGCTGGATTATTGGACAGAAATTGAATTAATTTTTAGTATGTGTGTTTATCTGTAGCTTTAACTTATTTACAGATTAGAGAACAAATCTTAGAGGTGTCTAATGGAAATAGTGTAGTTCTAATGAGAGCAGTGGTAGCACTTAGAGGTTGGAAAAGGCAACAACGGAGTATTCTGCAATTTACCATCCTGATTGATGGTGTTGTCAGTAGATGTGAGTGTTGTTTCTCTTCAGGGATTCACAGTGACTAATAGTTGGTCGTTTGCTTATGTAACAACTGTTATTTTGATGGAGTAATTTTAGTTCCAAGTGCTACAAAAAGCTTCAGTAAGCTGTTTTAATAGGTAGACCAATCCATGTCATTGTTCATTTGGAAGTTAAGGTCATTCTGTTTTTTCACGTGCATTTTTTAGGGGAAGCTGAAGTAGCAGAACATAAAACTGAAAAATGGACTATTCTTTCAAGGGCATAGTCTGCAAGTCCAACTGAACAGCCTTATGCTAACATCAAACCCATGTTTTTGAACAAAAGTTTCTTTAATTTCTGAACATTAAACTTGCTGTTAAGTATCTATATAAATGAAAGTGCCAATATTACATATTTAAGCAGAGTTTACTATTCTCCATATGAAATATGTATTTTTGTTACTTAAGAATTTGTATTCCAAGGTGATTTCTATACTTCAAGCTATTTATTATGGTGGGCAAAATAAATACATATATTCTTTCTAATTCTAGTGGAAATTTTTTGGACCTTTGTTCTCAAAATGAAACCCTTTCAAAATAGAGCGATTTAGTCAGCAGTAGTGGGTTATGCAGCTAACCTGTTCTTGTGACAACTTACTGTTCCACAAATGACTGACCTGCCAACTTTGTGAGAAGTTCAGCTTAGACTTCTCAGCCACGATAGATCCTTCTACAGGCACATGGATGAGGAAAATACAAGGAAAATGCAGTGACTTTCGGCAGTGAACTACCACAAGTTTCTGATAACTTTTTGGTTATTATTTGCACAGTGGAATATCTTGAAAACTGTCTTTCGTAAGTTATCTTCAGACCTAAATACTTACAAAAAAAGAAAGCTCTTGAAATACTCTTGCTTTTGTATGGAGATGTTTGTAGATAAAGCTATGAATGTCCTATGTGAAGATATGGTCTTAGTACTTACTAGAGGTCTGAGTGGCTGGCACATTTTAAATGCTTACTCCTCGAATTTCTTCATATTTGAAAGTGCTCTCAGAACTGTTTCTAAGGTTCCTTTGCGTTTTGCATGTGATACATAATGCATAATGTCTGTGTACATCTTTTTTCACCTGTTTACTCTCATTTTAAGGTTTATGAACCACATGAAACATCATTTAGAGCTTGAGAAGCAAAGCAGTGAAAGCTGGGAAAGCCACACCACCTGCCAACACTGTTACCGTCAGTTTCCCACCCCATTCCAGCTGCAGTGCCACATTGAAAGTACACACACACCTTATGAGTCTTCTAGTAAGTTGGATTATATTGGACTGAATCTTTTTGTAACCTAAAATTTTAGATATTTTTTGACTTGTCTTTTGCTGGTTAGTAACTTCAGAATGAGACCATTGTACTTCAAGGGCAATAATTTGGAGGGTTGTAAGCAAAAGCTGGACAGTCATTCAGCTTCTGTCAGAGCAGTATCTGGAAAAACTTTTTTTTAAGTTGGAGGGATTCCTGTTTTTTGTTTTTGTTTTTATTGCAAACTTGATTTCAAGAGTTCATACTGTTGAAGGACCTCATATTCCTGAAGTTGTCAAGAGTTTCATCTGAAGAGCTGGAAGAAGATCATTAGATTGTTTCCCCTTTATATATTTATATACAGTTCACATGTACGTATGTATTATAATTGATTGAATTATGACCCCAAACTAATTTGTGTTTTTTTGCTTTTTCTAGCTATTTGTAAAATCTGTGAATTATCCTTTGAAACAGAACAGGTTCTTTTGCAACATATGAAGGACAATCATAAGCCAGGTGAAATGCCATATGTTTGCCAGGTATTTCAGAATTTGTTTTGTTTTGTATCTACATTACCTACCCCCTCTGCCCACCCCATAACACACACACCCCATCTGTTTTTACTTTTTATAGACTTTTAACAAGAAGCAAAATTTCTTATTTTAGGTATGCAACTACAGATCCTCAGCTTTTTCAGATGTAGAAACACATTTCAGAACAGTTCATGAAAATACAAAACATCTGCTATGTCCATTTTGCCTCAAAGTAATTAAAATTGGAGCACCGTATATGCATCATTACATGAGGCATCAGGTAAGCAGATGCTTTCTTAATTCTTGAAAAATGCTAAATATCAAGATTCTCTTCCTAAAAAAAAAGTATCTGAAAAAGCATAACTGATTTGTATAGTGTTAATAGATAAAAATAGTCAATAAAATATGAAGACCTTGAGGTGCTTGTTGTGAGAAGTTTCCAAGTGAGTTGTCAGACTGTCGTGTTTTATATGACAGGAGTTTCCTGCTTAAAAATCTCTGGACACTATGCATTACCATGTTGTCTTACCGTGACTGGTAAACTGATTCCTTCTTGGTAGCAACACTGCTTTACGTCTGTACTGAGTGTCTTGACCTTGTGCAATATTAGGAGTTTGTCAGGTTGATCTTTACAAGTGGAATAGCCATTCTTTGAGAGAATAAGGTTAGAATTTTTTCTGTGACGTCCTTGCTTACTCTAGACTGGCTTCCTTTTTTTCAAGAAAAAAGGAATATACCGTTGCACTAAGTGTAGACTGCAGTTTTTGACTTGCAAAGAAAAAATGGATCACAAGACTCAGCATCACCGAACATTTAGAAAGCCGAAACAGTTGGAAGGATTGCCTCCTGGAACAAAGGTAAGTGAAGAATAATGGAGCAAATGAAAAAAAAATGTATTGGAAGAAGAAAATGTTGAAATGGAAAGAGTACTTCTTTCTTTTCCACAGCAAAGAAATTTTTGTTGCCTCTAAAACAAAAAATTCATTTCCTCTTAAAGAAGGGCTAGCAACATTTCACATCTTCCACTAGTTGGTCTGTGTCGTTGCCCTGTCCCATTCCATTCGTACATGTGCTGGTAGTGCAGTCAGTGATACTTTCTTGAGCTGTCTGTTAATTTGTCCCTTTCCAGTTATTATTTCTTGTGTTAGGAGAAAAGCAGGTAATGTGGATGTTGATCTGTAGTCATAATTTCTTATGTAAGACTTCCAATATGTGGAAGGTAGTAGCAAAATGCAGGTACAGTGCAAGATGATTTTCCATAGGCATTATGTGCTTACAACTGGGTGTACGAAGTCTTTTTATCTTCTGCATTTCAAGGGCTGAGGAGAAGAACCCAACAGTGTGTTGTGACGTAAACTTGGTTTTACGTCACTTAATATTTAGCATTAAGTCCATGTCTTGAGAAGGAACAACTTGCCTGTATATTTCAGAACTTTCTTACAGCCTTTCAATGAATTGTGAAGATTTATTGTCTTTCACTTGGAGTGAATAAAAAAATGAACATCTTAATTAACTACTCACAGTTGATTTCCTCTAAAATACTGTCTTATATTTTGTAAGGGAAATGACTGAAGTTGAAGTTGTGTTGCTTGGTAGTGATTCTGGATTCTGTGATGTCACTTCAGTATTTTAGAAGATTCAGAGTATTTGTAATTAATAAAAGCTTAGCTTGCTTTGTGTAAAAGCTCTGGTGTTAGGACACCTTGACAGAGTGTGGATAATAAAACTGAAGAGCCTGGAACAAGACTTAAAAGCTGAGCTGCTTCTAAGCTGTAAGTAGGGGTAAGAAGTGTAAGTCAGAAGCCAGAATTTGTCTTTGAAGGGTCTAGAATGAAGAGCAAAACTTATATGAAGTACCTTTTCTAATCATGAGGCAACAGTACACAGAGGTTTAGTTTAATCCAGGAACTGATTTGTTTGGTATTTTCTGAGCTGAGCTAATTGTTCTGACCCATCTGGCTCTTATCTACAACTACTTTTTCTTGCTAGGTTATTGGTTTTAAGAGTAGGATATAGGCGGTTGCAGGTCTGAAGAGAGAGTGGTGTTTTTTTGTCATAGCTAATTATTTCCACCAAAACAAGAGCTTTTTAAGATCAAGCAGACTACTCTAGTCAACAGTAGTGCGTATTTTTCAAAGCTGTATTTACTGAGGAAGATTTCGTATGCTATGCAAGATAGTCACTTCTGTCTTGAAGTGACTAAAACTTTGAGGAAGAACAGAAATGGGAACTTAAACAGATTAAATCTAAATAGAAAAACTTCTGATTTTGTACTTGTAGGTTACTATTCGAGCATCTATTGGATCTCTTCAGTCAGGATCTTCAGTTAGCACAAGCACATCCACGTTTCAGTTATCACCTAAAGCGAAGAATACGACTGCTAGGAATCATAGCAGATCTAATTCAAATAAATCAAAAGCAAGATCAAAACCAGCAACTGCACTGAAGAAGCAAAATGCATGGACCAACAGCAGCAGCAAAAAAAAAAAGGTTACAAATACAGCATTGCATAATCTAAGGTAAAATAGGAGCATTAAAATACACTGAAGTATGCTTTGAATATAAGTATCCAATCATTTAATTATTTTTTCAATAACTTACGGTCCTGCAATATAGAATATTTGACAACTTAATTTTGCAGAAGATGACTCAGACTTTCCACATACTGTGATTATAACTCTGTGTTGTTTTTTTTTTCATAATTTTGTTGGTAATGGACTTGATGATGGAAAAACAGATGCTCTGGCAAGTTTTCTATTCTAAATTTAGATTTTTTTTTTTCTCTGCGCAGAGCTCACAGTTATTGAAATATTGATGCACCAGGCAGATTTATGTTGAAAAGTGACCTGAGAATGGACTTTGTTTTTTGCAAGCGTAATGGAGAGAAAAGTGCTTTCCTCCTTTAGTTTATAAAGTGCTATTTGAACCTGTTATTTGAAAGGTTAAAGGTCTGGTTACCACAGTTTGGGGAACTATTAAAAGAGTCAATAAGATAAAAGCAAGCTGTGGGGAATGGTCTCCTTACATTTACAATTTAAAAGCTTTCACAATTCTTTAATAATTCCATGGGTCTTTTATGGACTAGAATACAATGACGTGCAGTAACAATTCTCTGTCAAAGAGGTTATGGGTGTCTCCCTTTCAGTAAGGTGCTAGCACTGAGAATTCAGCTGTTTGAAACGTCTAAAAATAACCAGCAAACTTAAATAAGAGCAGGATTATGATCTTCATCTGTAGCTTTTCCAAAGGATGATGGGAAATCCATATTTTCTTGTGTTCACTGTGTGAATGAAATGTTTCTTTGAAATTCTTTTCAAGTAGAGAAAGACAACAGCAGCAGCTGAAACTGGAGGGTCTCATCTGCAGTATCTTGTTTCCAGAAATGCTCAGTAACTGATGACCTTAAAAAAAAAAAAAAGCTGTAATGACAGTAATTCAAGAAAAAAGAGACTTATGTCTACTATTATAACCCGTAATAAATGTTTATCTGATTTTTTTTTATTATTTTTTTTATTATTTTTTTTTCCCCCCTCCAATGTGGGCAAGCTTTTTACAGGTGTAAAGCAAAAGGTTTGGAATAGTTATGTTGTCCTGAGATACTGATGTTAACTATGAACTTTTCCATATTACGTTAGGTGTCGTTTGGGAGCTCACAAATGCATTGAATGTTACTCAGAGATTAAAGATTTTGCAAGTCATTTTCCTGCGTATGTCCATTGTAGCTTATGCAGATACAATACTAGCTGTAGCAAAGCCTATGTGAATCACATGATGAGGTAAGAATTCTGTACAATTTTTTTTGAATTATCACATACTTCTAAAGTTCATATAAGTTGTATGAAGTGTGTATTAACACGTTGTGACCTGGGTCTGATAGGGACACATATATGTTGGATTTTCACTTCTATTGAGGACCTAAACACAGTATTCTTCTTGTACCTTAAAAAGCTAGGAGTTCAGGCAGCTTTCTGTCTTACCTTCACAATTTCAGTGGGGTCTTTCATTGTCATTTCAGCCAGACTTAACAAATAATGGTTAATTGTTGCATATTCTCTGAGTTTCAGATTTAAGATCTCATCTGTTTTGCACAAGTGCTGAATATATAAACCCACTGCTATCGCTAATGAAATCCATGCTCAGAATGCCGTGTAAAGAATGTCTCAAATAGCATAATCAAATGGATACCACTTTCATCATCTGTGAAAATAGCAACATCTGATCTTGTCTGAGGTTTGTTGCTGTAAGATAGTTTAGGATATTAGTGATGACAGATGTAAAAAAGACTTTTAAGAAAACAACATGCAAGTTTTCAGAGCAGTGGGAGTATCACACACAACGAGTGGACATAGATCTCTTGGCACTGAGGTTAAAAAATATTTTTGAAAACCTGCTTGTTAATCCTGTGCCTTTGAAAGGTCAAATGTGTTGTGGCAGAAAGAAAAAAAAAACACAACAATGCAATTGTCTTTTTAAAGATTTATGTTTAAAATGCCTTGATGTTTTTGAAGTTGAGTATACTTAAAAGTATGACTCATACACTTTTTTTTTATCTGTTGTGCATTGTCCTAGTCACATTAATGTCAATGTTCTTGTATGAAATAGCTTACAAAGTTCCATGCAGATAACCTGTGGGTTAACACAGGTTGCATGCTTAACAAATAATAAAAATTAATCTAACTAATTGTAATCATACAAGAAAAAAGGCAGAACAGAAGAAGGGAATCTACTGTAAACTATTCCTGGTGTTGTCCATGCTCTGGCTGTTGTCCAGTTCAACCATGCAGCAAAACAACTAGTCTTTTGTCCTTTATCTCCTCAGTGCTCTGTCTTGACTGTCGCACTACTTAGACCTCTTGCAGCTATCACCACCTAAGGAACAAGAAGTGGTGTGGAAGAAGGCTGTATGTTTTTGCTGTAGCAACATCTGTATTTGGTTGCTTGCTTTTTCTTTAATACTGGGAATATATTATGTGTTGGCACGTGCTTAACCTGCATGTGTGATAACTTGAAGTCAGTTTTTAGTGTCTCTTGAGGAACTTTATGTTGAGTAAAACTTCTTCACCCTATAGCTTTCACTGTGTAACTTAAGCACAGTGCTTCAAGACCTGAATTGCTGATGGAAGCAAACTATGTTCGTGCAATACTGTGCCAAAAAGAATTGAAGTCTTGCCCCTCCCAAGGTCCTTACTAGAGAGCTCGAAAGTAGAAATGCTTGGTGTTCCTGAGGTTGTTTATTTCTTCTGCTCTTTAGCACAGCGATGTGGAGTTTTCTTTTACCAGTGTTTTGAATTGGAGATGAGATTCACAAGCATGTACAATTCCATCAAATCAGTTTTTTAGAATAATGCAGGTCAGTAGTTGAACATTGTGTTTTCTTGCCTTGTCAAAAGCGAATTTCAGTACCGTGTGTAGTATGTAGGGAATATATGGAGTAATATACTTTAGAGAGACAGATTAAATTATGGTGGTTTGCTTTTTGTTTTTTAGTTTTCACAGTGCTCGTCCAAGTAAAAGATTTTGGATATACAAGAAGCATTCAGAAGAGCTACGGTAATTCTGCTTTTATTCAGTTGTAGATTATCCTCTTTTGCTTTATGTTAGTGACTTGATTGTTTAAAATAAATTAGAGCCTCTTGAATTTCTAGGCTTCCACAAACAGCAGAGAGGTGAAAATGTTGTGACTTCTACTAACAGTGTTCTCTTTTGTGACAGACTTTTTTTGTTCACTTTTGTTGACTTTTCTCATGGCTTTTTTAAAAAATATTTCCATAGCTTGCTTTTCCAATTATTCATGATGTGCAAGGTCTGAAAGAGGGAGATGGAAAAAGCCAAGAAACTCAAATTCTGTCTGTAGTACTACAGTAATTTTTTTTTTAAAGTACTTTGTATCTCTGTCTCAGCGTGGAGATATCCTAGACAGTGACTGGAATTTCCACATGCAGTGCTTCTGTGAGTCACTTCATATGAAACTGCAAAAGCAGGGTTGTTTTTTTTCTCTCTAGTCTGTCCAGTAGCTGCAGGTTAAAGCTGTTTTCACAGCCATATTGTGTTTACACATGCTTTTTACTTTCTCTTCTCTAGAGGTGTGACTGTAGTATGTCTTAACTGTGATTTTCTGACTGATGGTTCTGGCTTAGATAGGATGGCCACACATCTGAGCGAAAGTCATGCTCATGCTTGTCAAGTTATTATAGAGAATGGTGAGTATGTGTAGTTGTTTTCTTATATAGTACACGTACAAGTACTCACATGAGGGTGCCTGTCCCTTATGGTAGTCTTTTTTTCAATTACATTCTAATTTCTGTGCGTAGATTTGAAAGTGAGTACTTGTGTATTTCCACATTTTTTTAAAGTATTTTTAACTTGATCCTTTATTCTTATTTTCAGTTTCTGTAGATTTACCAACTGCTGAACAAGTATCTGAGTAAGTTTTGTTTTACCACTCAGTATTTCTTCTTTTCCTTTGAATTCAGTGACAGATGGTCAAGAATTGTACTTTGAACTTGGATTTCTTCCAAATTCATTAGAACCAAAAATGTATGGAATGTACACTTAATGTGTTTTTACTCTTGACTATGTCCAGAATTGCAAGAAGGGGGAGGTAAATTGCCTAGGTCATAAAACAACCAGTTCTTGCAGTATTAAAATTTCTTGGTCCTAAGTGCTAAGCCTAGGCCTAGAGCTACTGTTACTTCAAGTTGGTTTTAATATTAGCAATATTAAATGAGTGTTTTATGTTCTTTACACAATGTTGATATAAATACAAAAAGAAAGTAAAAAATTTTACTGGACATAGGATACATTATTTAGAAATTGTTTTCTAAGTAATGTCATTTATTTGACAAAAGGTATACTAATTAATGTCTAATTTTTTAAATGCAAAGAAAAATTTGAAAAGAAAATAATATGGAAATGTTGGCTTTTGGTTTAAAGATTTGAAAAAGATCCTGCAATATTGCAGAGTCCACGTTTATGGATTTTTTTTTTTAAAATTATTAGAAGACTCAAATATGCTAAACCTTTCCCCGTTTGTGCCAGAGCAGTATCTGAGACTTTACAGTGTAGTTTGTGAACCTACTTATGCCTTAACTGAAGGTTGTGAGGTATGCCAGTAGAAATAAACATTTGAGTTCTCTCATTTGAACCTCATTTGAAGGCAGGAGTGAAGATGTCAATTATACTGCAAAGAAGGAAGTTTTCGGAAGGCAGAAGAACATAGTTTAACCCAGATTTGACAGCAGGGTGTCACTGAATCCATATAACCTATAGTAGGATTCTAAAAGAGACTGGAGATTCTCATGTATGATGAGGACTTCAGCAGAGAGAGAGCAGTCTTCGCTGGGTGTTGAAAGTATTCCCAATAGGTTATTTCTGATATAGTGAAAGGTGTCATGTTCATGCCAGGTAGGTTAGATGACCTTAAAAGGTCTTTTCCAACCCCAAGTGTTCTATGATTTCATTACTTCCTATTAATATTTATTACTTATATTGTTATACACTTGTCTATATAGTTGTCTTGTAACTTTAATTTTCTAATGAAGTGGCCAGTAAGAAAACATGCTGGAATAATATCTCCACTGATCTAAACATGGAAATATATTTATTTGGTTACAAGTAATAATAACACAGAAAGTACGCTGTGAACTTCAAACCTCTAATAGTAACTGCTTAGCATTTGATCTAGTTGAATAGAACTTGTGAGTTGATAAGATGAATAACAGACATTGTTAAGAAGAATAGAAGTTATTTTGTAAGGAGCAGATGGGAAAGAAGTTAATTTGGAAAACCATTCCAAAAAAATATTTATGAATGAAATTTCTCTTCCTGGAGTACTGAATACTAAGATCTGACAAAATACTAGGAAAAGTCACTTAGAGTGAGCTGGGTATTCACTTCATTAATCCAAGGTGGCTTGTGTTCTGTTTGGATTTCAGTGAAACTCAAACAATGGAAAAATAAATGTTGAGCTGTGATACAACTTTAGTAGCTGGATGTATGTGTTTGGAATTCATATCTGCTGGACTATATGTGAGGAAAGGTTACAGGTGTGTGGTGGGCACAGATGTATATTTGTGGCAGGCTGTTGTCAGTACTGCAGGAGTATCTTGTTATCTTGAAAATATTGAACAGATGTCATACAAAAATATTTTAAGAATGTTAGATATGCTAAATATCTATTATGCAGAAACAGATGGGTAAGCACTGAAGGAGTAGATTTGAACTACAGTGAAGAATATGTATTCAGGTGTGTTTCCACAAGCTGTTAGTGTCTTACATTAGGATAGATGGGTAGAGCCATTATTTCTGAGAGCCCTGATTTTGCTGTTAGGTTACTTACTGGTTCCACGTGAGGTGGTATAAGCTGTTATTTAAAAAAGAAGAAAAGAAAAAAAATGACATTGATAGATAGATAGATAACCTGGTTAATCTCATGAATCTTGTCCTTTTCCATGTAATATTTTGCTGATAGTTGGGACAAGAATTTAATTGCTCAGTCTAATAGTGTAAGTTCATCTGTGTAGCTGACCTTGTATTCATTATTTGCAGTACAGAGTACACACAAATATTTATCCTCATCGTGCTGTGTGTTTAGTTTTGCAAGAAGAGGTACCTGTAGACAGTGCTCACAACTTTCACTGTGTGGTTTCTCTGTGATATATGAATGTATCTTCTCATTCTTTGACCTGTAATTTGGTGAAGTGTGTGCTGCTTATGGATTTCTGCAACATTGGCCACAGTGATCCACAATTAGACTCTTGGATGGTTTTGGATCTTCTCTTGCACCTTTCAGACCTTGGTGTCTTCTGTGTTCTATAAGAACGGCTGCATGTGTTATAAAACATCTTTATTGCTAATGACCAGACATGTTCTACAAGCTCTGTTCAGTATTGATGAGACTTGTGTTAGGACCAAGATTCTGTCATTAGTAGTACAGATAATCTAGGTGATATTCGAGCAGGATTTTCCTTTGAAATTGCTCCTTTACAAAAGTTGCCTTGTTTTATTGTTTGGTGATCCACCTTGTGCTGAGGGAATGAGCCTTGTTAACTATTCCACTACTCTTCTAATGCTCTGCTCTCTGCTTTGCGCAACATTAACATATTTTTAAATGAACTGACAGTAGACATTTTTGTTGCAGGGGAGTTGAAAGTGAGCAGGTATCCTATGCTGCTTTGGCTCACTGATACATCATTGTGGAGCAGCAAATTGAACCCAGTCGAGCTTGGGATTATTTTGGTATGTAAGCGAACAAGCATCTGACCAGACCTTTTCTTATTTCTTCATGCATTGAAGCTGTGGGGTATTCTCTTTTTACATCTTTCAGGCAGCAGGTCTGGTCTTTTCTCCATTACTGTAGTCTGGCAAAGGCTCTTCTGTGTTTTTGTTCTCTGCTTTGCAGCATTAATTTACAGCTTTTGGGGGCTATAAAAATCCATGGAAAAGAGACGTATCAGTAGTTTCGTTTATGTGATGTAGTGTTTCTTTGCTGCTCATTGTCCCCTCGAGTCTGTCAGTATCATTCAGAGTTAGAGTAGCGTATAAATGAGGGCATATACTTAATAGCACCAAAGCCCCTTTTGTTCTGAACTTGATCTTGGCTTTTGAAAGTCGAGGGATTTGTCATTCTCTTTGGGTATTCACTAAAACATACAAGTCTTTATCAGTTTAATAATAAAGTTGCGTTTTTATCTAGCAATGTCATTACAGCATATAGTGGTAAATATGCTTTGGAAGACTCGTATCACATGTAACTACATAAACTGAATCTTGGCCAAAGGAGTTTGTTAGCTGTACCTTAATGGCTAAGCTTCTCTTGGCTCCTAAATACTGAAGGAGAAAGCATGTGATGGAAACAGATGTATTTGCTGAGCCTTGATTCTGAGAGTGCAGCAGCCACAGTTCATTCATACCTTGTTCTTTTGGTATCATCTCTCATCTTCCAAGATGCTCTCTCAAGCTGCTAAGACATCTGCCGATTTTGGTATCACTGCTTCTGATTTCATCTGTAGTTCTAGATAATCTGTGGCAAGTTCATCCATCAAGGAGATGTCTAAGTATATGATGAGTTTTCGTTTTGTCATGATGACATCTAGTGTTCCTCCAGACTCAACCTCCTGCTTACAGTGGATATATTTCTTGGTTGAACGTCGCATTTATCAGCTTCCAAGTAACTTAATAGATAATCTTACTCTGTGGTCAGTTGTTACCTCTTCCTGGTTAAAGAGATCTGATGAACAATCTGACAAACACCAACTATTCTTGATTTGCAACTCTTGCTTTATCTGCATAACCAAATTCTCCAAAGTTAATCTGTTTTGGCTGATATTTTTGTCTATTCCCTTTTCATGTAGAAACAGAAACAATTTTAACTGAGCTTTTGCAGCCACTGTGTTATTGCTAGTAACAGTGAAGATCATGTCATCCATTGTCTTTGATGCATATTTTTGAATGAGCACCTACTCAGTCAGTACTCTTAAGTCTTGTTCTTTTTGCTCCTTTTTATTCTGACAAAGTGTGTTCTGTCTTGTATGCTGTTCAATTTCAATCATCATCAGCTATGTACTAAAGTTTTTCTTACAGGACTTCTGTTTTGACACAGTATTCAGTAAGTGGGATCGCTTTTTCATTATGAACATGCTTTTGTAATTCAGAGGAAGCTGAATCTGAGATATTTCACTTGCATTCAGGTTTGTCAGCAACCAAAATCAGAGTATGATTGCAGATTTTTATGGCTTTGAAAATTCTTCTCTAAGAATTTACTGCAAATTATACTGGATTGATGCTTTGCTTTGAAGTTAGATGATTTGGAAGGTTATCATTTGGTTCTTTTACAGTTTTGCTCTGGAAATTAATTTTAAAAATGTCTAGTTAAAACACTTGAGTTACCTGCAGATTTCTAGTCTTGTGTAAGCAAGGGTAGCAAAACAGTTTATGTAGAAACAAGTAGTATCGTGGCATCCTATTTCCATTTACATGAAGTATGGAGAAGTTACTTAAGTGAAAAACTTGCACTATAAAAACAGTACTAAATCATGTAGATAAACCTGCATGACTCATGCTTTACTATCCCTGATAGTCCTGATTGCTACCAGCTTACATGAATAATGCAGCATATTGGACTATGTCTGCAAAGACAAAGCGTGAGCGTCTGGCAAGAAAGTGAAAGTTTTAGGCTTTAAGAGAAGTGAAAATATTTGTGACTCCTCAACTTTGTATGTAATTACGCTTACTTATTCATAATTATAGTAAGTTAATTTGTAGCTTTATCCATTGCTAACCTATCTTACAAGTGAGAAACTGGAGACTGTATCAAGAAAGATGAATGTTACCATCTTTCCTTTTTCATTCATTCATTACCAGTGTTAAATGTGTTAGCATAGATGTACCTTTTTCTTCTGACTATTCATTCACCTGTACCACACC